CTGGCCGACTGCAGACCTTCAATCCAGCATCAACAAACAACTCGGGTGGAAATGTTCGGCATCCTCCACACAAAGGCAAACAAACCTGTGGCTCCAAACATTTTGAGAGTAGGTGAGCTATGCTACTTGGTTGGAAAAGAAAGAGACATTTTTAACCTTCGTGACATTCGAAAACACGCGACTGACACAAGAGCTGAAAACACAGACGCACAGCCAAAAAAAATGATGACTTCAAAATCCCTGATTTATAAGACTCGCCTAATCCTCCGCAAATTTGAAGAGAAATGGCATTTTGATCCCATGCACTACAATAGGAAGACAATATGGAAGTAAGAGATTAAAATGACTAGTTATGTCACTGAATATTGTTCCGACCAGACAAAGGTCAAATAATTATTTGTTCAAGAAAATAAAAGGCTCTCATTACTCAGCAGGCTTACATTCCAAATGTCTGAAATTAATTTTGTTCTCCACTTTTTACCTGGAATAAGGAAAATATCTAATATTTTTTGAAAATTAAATATTTTAATGCTTAAATCACATTGATGCAATTTCTGCTATAGAGATGAAAAGGTGAAATATTTTGAACATTATATGTGACCCGGGACCACAAAACCAGTCATAAGAATTAAAATTTAAAAAAATATATTTATACATCATCTGAAAGCTGAATAAATAAGCCTTCAATTGATGTATGGTTTGTTAGAATATGAAAATATTTGGCCGAGATACAACTATTTGAAAATGGAATCCGAGGGTGCAAAAAAATCTAAATATTGAGAAAATTGTCTTTAAAGTTGTCCAAATGAAGTCCTTAGCAATGCATTTTACTAATAAAAAATTAACTTCAATCCAGCATCAACAAACAACTCGGGTGGAAATGTTCGGCATCCTCCACACAAAGGCAAACAAACCTGTGGCTCCAAACATTTTGAGAGTAGGTGAGCTATGCTACTTGGTTGGAAAAGAAAGAGACATTTTTAACCTTCGTGACATTCGAAAACACGCGACTGACACAAGAGCTGAAAACACAGACGCACAGCCAAAAAAAATGATGACTTCAAAATCCCTGATTTATAAGACTCGCCTAATCCTCCGCAAATTTGAAGAGAAATGGCATTTTGATCCCATGCACTACAATAGGAAGACAATATGGAAGTAAGAGATTAAAATGACTAGTTATGTCACTGAATATTGTTCCGACCAGACAAAGGTCAAATAATTATTTGTTCAAGAAAATAAAAGGCTCTCATTACTCAGCAGGCTTACATTCCAAATGTCTGAAATTAATTTTGTTCTCCACTTTTTACCTGGAATAAGGAAAATATCTAATATTTTTTGAAAATTAAATATTTTAATGCTTAAATCACATTGATGCAATTTCTGCTATAGAGATGAAAAGGTGAAATATTTTGAACATTATATGTGACCCGGGACCACAAAACCAGTCATAAGAATTAAAATTTAAAAAAATATATTTATACATCATCTGAAAGCTGAATAAATAAGCCTTCAATTGATGTATGGTTTGTTAGAATATGAAAATATTTGGCCGAGATACAACTATTTGAAAATGGAATCCGAGGGTGCAAAAAAATCTAAATATTGAGAAAATTGTCTTTAAAGTTGTCCAAATGAAGTCCTTAGCAATGCATTTTACTAATAAAAAATTAAGTTTTGATATATTTACGGTAGGAAATTTACAAAATATCTTCATGACACATGATCTTTACTTAATACCCTATGATTTTTGGCATAAAAGAAACATTTATAATTTTGACTCATACAATGTATTGTTGGCTCTTGCTACAAATATATCTGTGCTACTTATGACTTATGGTTTTGTGCTCCAGTGTCACATATATATATATATATATTTTTTTTTTTATATTTTCAAGTGATTGTGGCTTTAGGTTTAAATAATAACCCTGATCCATCATTGTTCCATGTATATCACCTGTTTATTAAAATGTTTGTATACGAGCATCCTTCTTTGTGACAAAATATAGTACGTCTAATATTAAGCATCGAAAAAGCTTGTTTTCAATTCATTCTTTTTCATTCCAGTCATTTATTAAGAGGTTTATTTATTTATTTGAAATTTTGTATATTACCTGCCTAAGATGTAAATAAAACGAGGGTGGAAATTCACAAGGTTAATGGGAATCATTCTTTCACCTTTTAATCAGCTTCAGATGCGCTTCACACTGATCTAAAAGTGCCCTCTGGTGGCCGTTTGTACCACAATACTACAACACAGCAACTGACCATTGCCAGTAATCATAACATCAGGTTTGCTCTGACAATGTTTAATAAAACCTACCAAAAGGTTTAGTTTTTTCTATAAAAAAGCTGCAATAACGATCCACGGTGAATTGCTGTTAAAGAGAGATTTGTTGAAAAACCCAAGCAAGATATATCATCTCTATTTTTGTTTTCTGATGCATTGACACTTTTTTCTTTAAGAAATGTGGAATGCAAGAAGACCAATGACAGGCCTTTCTAACATTCACCACATTCAAAAATATAACAATACTCCTACTATGGTTATTGTAACTACTGAAAAAACATCGATAAAACAACATGTAAACTTTAATTTCATTCTTTTTAATGTCTAAATTAACTAATTGTAGCCTACCCGCTGTAGTTTTTTGGTTTACTGGTTATCATTATCATTTGTAAGGGTGATTTAACCATAATGCAACACAACAACCTACTTGGTTTATGTTTACTAGCATTTTCTCTTCACGAGGATGCTGAACTTCTTATATAGCTGTTGCCAACACAATAGATTTGCCATTTTCTATGTATGTTTTTTATAGGAAAGAGTCTTCAGAAGAACAGACATCTCTGTTATATTATTTGAATACACATTTGAATATACATTTGAATACAGTTGCTATTGATTTTGACTCTATACTTAAAACGATCAATACTATACTCACATACTTAGCTTGTCATGTTTCACTCATCACACTGAGGAAACTGCACAAGTTACACATTTTAATAAAAAAATTAACTTGTCAGCGCCCTCTGGTGCCCGTCAAACACCCGCTTTTGTGCGTGTGTGTGTGTGTGTCTGATGTGATAGACATTTGTATCCCATTCCATCCTCAATCTTCACATGAATACATTTCTCTGTGTGCTCATATTTTTCTTTCAACAAAAACAAAACCTGACCATAGCTGCACTGTCCGATAAAATAAATAACTGAATGATAAAAAAACATTACAAATGATCATAAGTTTCAATGTATTAGCCTATTTGATGACAAAAACCCAAATTACCTTTAGTTTATATTATATATATATATATAGCTTATATATAGGTAAAAGAGATTATAATCTCATTGTCATTCTGATTATTTAATTTAACTTTTTAGAAATTCTATTTAATAAATATCTATTCTCTGATATTTAATAAATGGACTTTATTGAATAAATACATTTTATGTAATTGCATCACATTAAGATAAGTTTATGATTATTTTACTTACATTACAGATTCAAATAAATACATGAGTTATTGTGAATAAACGTTGAATAGATGCCAGAATTACTAACATCAAATGAAAATAGGAGCACATTACATCAACTGTGGCTATTTACAGGAGTGAACATGCCCTTAAGTACCCAATCCGTCTTCATTCACAAGCTCATAACTCTGTATAGAGCGCCGTTTGGCCTCTGTCCCACCGGTGCCAACTCTGATATAGTAACAGACGTTTGTCAGCACTCCACTCACAATGCCAGAGGATCTTACTAGTATTTCAAGTAACATTTTAGCAGTTTGTTGAAACCTCTCTTCTACAGGTTTCATCTGACGGCGAACAGCACATTATCCTAAATGCAAGTCCTGCTCAGAAGGCCAGAGGGCAGTCGGTCTACAGCAGACACCACATCACATCACATCCACACAAACTACAACCAGAGCAGCAACCGAATGAAAAACATAGCCTACATATAGTTTAGACACTTAATGCACACATAAACATGTCTTAAAGTCACGTCATTGATAAAAAAATCAGACTATGTGGAGTTTATTTTAAAGAAAGATTCTGTAGCACAAGCACAATTTCCATACGTCACAAAAATATGGTTGTTAAATATTAAAGGGGTCATATGATGCTTTTTTAAAGATCATTATTTGGTGTAACAGAATATGTTGACATGTTTTAAT